ACAACTACTGCCATTCGCCGCTATGTGGCGGTCACTTCACCACGGTGGGGGGCAGGTAACACCCAAACCGCACACAGAGGCAAGTGAACCCACTTGCCGTTCTGCCTCTTGTCAGAAGGCGATCTCAACAGGTGGTGCGGGAGTTGGGGTAGTTTCACAAACGTGTGTGACCCACCAACCCCTCGGCGCGCCGCCAGGGCCCCGGCCAGCCCACGGATCTCCACAGCGGCGCCCTCGGTGGGAATCGCCCAGCTGTCTCTGACTCCACCGCTTCGACCCCCCCCCCCCCCCCCCCCCCGGCAGGTTCATCAAGACGACGGCCAACGCCACCGTGGACCACCTGTCCAAGTACCTGGCGATGCGGCTGGCGCTGGAGGAGCAGCAGAGGGTGGGGCCGGCGGGCAAGGCGGCCGGCACGGTGGAGGGCGCCAGCGAGAAGCAGTACACCATCTATATCGCCACCACGGGAGGGCAGTTCACTGTGAGGGCCCGCACTGTGTGTGTGAGTTAGAGAGAGTGGGACTGTGTGATTGTGTCAGAGTGGAAGTGAGCCGCCTGAGGCCAGCAACAGCTCGAGGCAGAGATGTGTGTGCGCATGTGCTTGTGGGGAGCGGTGGTATAGCGGTTAGCGTTACGCTGCTTTAAGAACCCGGCGACCCGAGTTCGATTCCCGCTCACGGCCAACACCGGTGGCGATTATCGGAACCGGTCATGGGCCTCCCCTAGGTCGACTCGGCCTCAAATGAGTACCTGGTGCGGTTTGTAAACATCGCCACTAGGGAGACAAAGGCGGCCGGGCGTGGTGCTGGCCACCCACGCCCTCGTGCGCATGTGCCGGCCCTTCTCGCTAGCAGCACTTGCCCCAGCAGCCTGCCACAGGCTGCACGGGGGATCTTCGTCTGTAGTGGGGTGGCTGAGTAACAGAGGCATGGAATTTGAGAGCTTCGGGCGCGTCCCCAATGCGCTCGAGTTGACGTGAAGGGATCTGAGGAGGAGCTCTGTGACATCCGCACGGATGAGTTCCTGACCTTGTGACAACGCCACCTCGGCTATAGACACGCGGTCTGGGTAACTCTGGGGTGAGGGGGGGGGAAATGATAACTTCTATAATTATAATTGAGCGATTGTATTGAATACAATCTTGCATGAGTTGTGAGTTAAACGTCAAAGATTTGAGAAAACTGATTTATCTTCTGCTCGCTAACAGCACTTGCCCCAACAGTCTGCTAAGGCTATACGGGACATGTTTGTCTTTGCGGAGCAGTAGTGTAGCAGTTAGCACGCTGTGCTACGAACCCAGCCACCTGAGTTTGATTCCTGCTCACGGCCACCAACACCGGTGGCGATTATCGGAACCGGTCCTGGGCCTCCCCGAGGTCGACTCAGCCTCAAATGAGTACCCGGTGCGGTGTGTAAACATCGCCACTGGGGAGACAAAGGCGGCCGGGGGCGGTGCTGGCCACCCACCCCCTCGTGTTTCGTGCCGGCCTTCAAAGGCACTTGCCCCAACAGCCTGTTACGGCTACACGGGGGGTCTTTCTTGTATAGTTACGTGTATTTGTATGTGTATTTGCGTGTGTTTACAGCTGTGCCTGTGCGTACGCGTATGTACGTTTGCCCTGGTGCACGAGCTAACGTCTGCGTGTCTGCGCGCACGCACACAGACCTTGAACGGGTCCCTGTCTCTGGACAAGGTGAACGAGAAATACTGGAAGGTCAACAAGCCCATGGAGCTCTACTACGCTCCCACCAAGGACCCCAAGTAACAGGACAGGCAACGCATCTCTCGCGCCACAAGCTCACGACCTCCTCGCAATCTTTTCGACAATGGCAACATTTTGTTTCGCTCTGGGACAGCAGAGCACACGCACAGGTGGCGGCGGTTGCTTGCCGCGTCACTTCCACGTCACCGCGTCCCCCGTCGCGCTCGGCAGTTTCGCGAGAGGATTGAAAATCTTTCCCGCGGCCTGACGTGCATTGGGGGCTTTGTCGTTCGTCTCGCGCCTCTTCTGTTCTTTCTTTCTCTTTCCTTCTCTCCCCACCGGCACGAAACGAGCCGGTGCCCGCCAGGCCGCACCGGCGCTCCCCAGGATGCGCCGGGTTTCTGTTTTTCCACCGCGCCGGTTGCCGAGCCGCGCCGGTTGCGTCGCACGCGGGCGAATGAGCCGTGAGCCCCACGCCTGGCCCTGCTGGGCCCCCCCCCCCCGCACCCAGATTCGGATGACGTCTTGTGAGGCCGGCGGAGCACGGTTTGGTTCCTGCTCCGTACCGCGAGGGCCCCTGACCGAAATGGCTCCGCTCGGGAGTGCCGGTGGGGGGGGAAGGGGGAGACATTGGGCTTTCACAGTCGTTGCGCCGTCCGTCACGTTGGGAGTTGTCGTTCAGCGTCGGGAAGTCGGGAACTCGTTGGCACGGGGGCCGCTTACCCCGCTGTGGGCTCGCACCAAGTCGGGGCGATCGTCAAATTGGATGCGGCAGTTGCGTTTGATGGATCGAGTCGGATCGGCCTGAATGGTGAAAATTAATTACCGTATTCTCTGGATCACAAAAGACTTCTCGCCTGTACTTCTTAATCTATTTTAATGCGACAGTTGAGGGGTGCGTGTGCATTGTAGGAGCGGTGGCGCAGTGGTTAGCACACCGTGCTACGAAGCCGGCGACTCGAGTTCGATTCTCGCTCACGGCCAACATCGGTGACGATTATCTGAGCCAACTGTTGGACCTCAGCCAGAGTGACAAGGCCGAAGAAATGAGTACCTGGTGTGCTGTGTGAACGTCAGCAACTGGGGGCGGGGGGAGGGGGGGAGACAAAGGTGGTCGAGCACAACTCTGTCCACGCCACCCCATTACGCTGTGTCGGCCTTCGCAAGATGCTCGCTCACAGCACTTGCCCCAAACAGACTCTTGAAGGCTACACGGGGGGGATCTTTGTCCTCCTGGCCAGAGAGCTGTGTAACTTTCATTGCCACTGGGCACAAGTGTTTGGCGGCGCGTCCCAACTTACCGGAGCGTCTCTTCGTATCAGGAGAATGCGGTAATCGTGGAGACATAGTCACCCACTCGGGGTGGGCGGACGGGGGGCTGTGGGGGTGCTCATGTGGACGTTGATGGGCGGGGGCAGGAGGGCGGTTTTCGAACAAGTCCAGTACAACGCCGCCTATCCGACTCGCTAGGGTCGACGTTGAACACGAGAGGCACGTCACGCCCAGCGAGGCGGTGGAGGTCACCTGAGCTTTCATGCCGAGGGCTTATAAAGCCGAGGGCTTTAAAGCTTTTACTCATTTTTTTTGGTTTAAACGCATCGCCGCGATCGGGACGATGGCGGGTCGGCGAGCGCGCGGAAGACTTGGTCGCTGCAAGCGAGCGAGCGACGCCGTCTTGTGATTGACGCCGCACGCCGAGGCGAGCGTTAAACTATTTCGTACGTGTAATCGGTGACGTTTCGGGCAACGGACCTTCTTCATGGCACCGCTGTGCTTGTTGAATGGATTGAGGTTTTTGTCGTTTGTTTGCTGGGGCACCCACAGCCAATGCAGTCTCGCACATTTTGTGAAAATGTCAAATTTGTGAACAATGATATAATACGCACGCGCACACACACACACGTGTACAAAGACAAAGATCCCCCGTGTAGCGTCAACAGATTAGGAGCAAGTGCTGTTGGCGAGTAGCACCTATGAAGGCCGGTACGGCGCACGAGGGGGTGGGTGGCCAGCATCTACTCCCAGCCGCCTTTGTCTCGCACACCGCCCGCACCAGGTACTCGTTTGAGGCTGAGTCGACCTAGGGGAGGTCCAGGACCGGTTCAGATTTGCGTCACCGGTGTTGGCCACGAGCGGGAATCGAGCCGCTGGGTTCGTCGGGCAACGCCGTTCACCGTTGCGCGACCCCTCCACACAACAACAGCTCTACCCAAGGCCAGGTGCATTGAGGCACAGGAGGTGTACATTCAAAAGCGCACGCACACAGCTCGCACGCACCCACACGCACCCACACGCACCACACGCACACAGCACACACATGCACCCACACAGCACGCACACACGCACCCACACGCACCCACACGCACCCACACGCACCCACACGCACCCACACGCACCCACACGCACCCACACGCACCCACACGCACCCACACGCACCCACACGCACCCACACACAACACACGCACACAGCACACACATGCACGCACACAGCACACACATGCACCCACACAGCACACACGCACCCACACGCACCCACACGCACCCACACGCACCCACACGCACCCACACGCACCCACACGCACCCACACGCACCCACGCACCCACACACAACACACGCACACAGCACACACACATGCACCCACACAGCACGCACCCACGCACCCACGCACCCACACGCACTCACACATTACGCACACACGCACCCACACGCACTCACACGCACCCACACGCACACAGCACGCACCCACACGCACCGTCTCAATCCCCCAAAGGACCGGTTTTCGGAAAATGGAAGATAGTCCCCGGACTCGCCGTGGTACCGGGCCGTTGAGAACCGCGGCCGCCCCCACCCTCGTGTCGTCGTCGTTGTCGTCGCGTTGCCGTCGCGAGAGGTAGGTTTAGCACAGATCGCTTGCTTCACGGCCACTTTGTACAATGGTTTGTAGTTTGGTTTAAGACGATTATATATATAAATATTAAAAAGCTGTTTCCTTTTTCTTTTTTTCCTTTTCCCCGCCGCACAACCGAGCCACGCAACGGCGACTCTGCCCCGGTGTTCGGAACCAGCGGCCGCCCTGATTAATACCGCAGGTTTATTAAACTTACTACTGCTACTACCACGTGCCGTCTGCTTCGCTCGCAGCGGACGTGGAATATCCCCGTCACGTCATGTCGCACGAGCGGGCCGTCGTGTGCGACCGCCTTCGGGGGTCTCCAAATTTACCTGAAGTTGGGGAAAATGACGCCGCTAATTACTCGTCCCAATTGGGATTATTGTCGGTAATCATCGCCCAGTACTGGCTGGCAGACCATTGCCCCCGCCCCAGGTCTCTCTTGCAAAAAATGAAATTAGGGGGGCGGGCGGGGGCCCTCCAGACTCATCAGGCGGCATTTCCCGAGCTGTCCCGACTGACGTCTCGCGCCGTGAACGTTTGAGGAGCCCTGCCCCTGGCTGGCCCTGCTTGGCCCCCCCCCCCCCCCCATCGTGTCTCTTCCTCTGTGTCTCCACGCCCCCGAGAGGTTTGTCACATTATTCGCAGGATCGTCGTAGACGCTACATTCTATTTTTAAGTTTTTGCCGGCTAGGCGTGTCGCGGTTTGGTTCCGGCACGGCAAAGAGCCGGCGGGTGGAGGCCGCTCCGCCGGCGTTACCGGGAGGGCCCCGCGCCCGGCTCCGGGTGGCTGTGCCGGGCGGCCCGGGGAAGGCAGCCCTACACCCCGCGACACAGAGTAGAACCCCCCCCCCCCCCCCCCCCCCCCCCCCCCCCCCGTTACTCGTCACATCATCATCAGCTTTCGTGACTGCAGGGATTCATCTTCTTGGTTATTTCGGTAAAGTCACGTAGAAGGGAAGTAATTGTTTTATTATGTTTTATTTTTATTATTTTATTACTTCCCTTCTACGTGACTTTACCGAAAGAACCAAGAAGATCATCATCAGCATTACGCCTGTCAACATCGCCCGGGCGGTGGTGGCTCTGCACGTGGCCTGTAATCCGGCACTGGGCGGAGGCAGCAGCCACACCTGTACCGGGATCGAGTGTTTCCCCCTTTCATGCGTGGTTTGTCTCCGGGTGCCTGTTAATTGGCCGACAACACCTCAACATGTAGAGAACCGCAGAGCTTGGGCGACTTGCCGATTTGCTGCATCCCTCCTCGTCTGCGGGGGCCTCCTCGCGAGTACCGAGAGTCGAGTCGGTGCCTTCTCTCTGCCGGGCAAGCGGCGGCTTCCGAGTGCAAAAAGATCGTCGTCGTCGGCCACGACCGGTCCACTGCCGGATGACGCCCCCCCCCCCCCCCCCTGGACTGCCGCCATCACCACCACGTGATCCTGCGAAGTAACAGAACCACCCAGCAACGCGCGCACACGCACAGAGAGGCGATTCCATCGCCGCACCTCCGCGTCGGACGCCACCTCGGGCGCTCTCCCTCCTGTTCGCTCATTTTTGACCCCGTCGGCCATCGCGGACGCATCCTGCCTCGAGCACGTGATGACTCCTCTTGGCCGTGTGGAGGTTGTCTCTCTCACCCGTGGTGTGTGCTGTCTCGTCCGCGTGTCGCGCTTCTCTGTGCCTGGGTGTACTCCAAGGAGCATCTCTCTGAGTTGCTTGTTCCACCTTTGAGCCCTTTGACTCGCGCAAACACAAAACACACAGAGCCACTCGCACAATAAAGCTACCGGTGGCTGTTGTGGTCTGTCAGCTGGTAAATTCCTACTGCTGTCCATCCTTAACCTTCGTGAGTCTCCATGAGTCTCTGTGTGCGTATGTGGGTCGCTGTGAGTCTCCATGTCAATCTATGGGCCTGTTAGTCGCCATGTCCGTCTGTGAGTCTTTGTGAGTCTCTCTGCGTGAGTCTCTGCGTGAGTTTCTGAGTCTCTGTGTGAGTCTCTGTGAGTCACTGAGTGAGTCTGAGTGAGGATCTGTGTGGGTCTCTGTGCGAGTCTCTGTGCGAGTCTGTGTGAGTGAGTCTGTGTCTCTGGGTGAGTCTCTGTGAGTCTGAGTGAGTCTCTGTGCGAGTTTGACCCCCCCCAATCCGACCCCCCCCCCATCCCGTACTCATACTAAAGTAATACAAAAATGAAGACAAGATGTAGACGTGAGTTGTTTTTCGAGATTTACGATGACACTGTAAATCACATTCACGAATCAGCCCCCCAAATGTCGTCTCCCATCATGTTTTCGTCACACTGTCCTTGGTAGCGGCGTTCAAAGTCTATATCCTGGTGGAAGCGCTCGCCTTGCTCCTCCGAGTTCGCTCCTCATGTTCTTGAATTGATCAAGATGATCATCAAGGAGAATGGACTTTGAGGGACATCCTTCAGTCCATTGTGCCGTAGTTCTTCACCAGTCTCAACCAGCTCCACATCGTTTGTGATTTCCCAGGAAGCCACAAACCACTGCGACAAAGCTGTTCCAAGCCACGTTCTCCTTACGAGTGGGCTTCTTGGGGAATTCATTGCACACCAGGATTTTCTTCATCTGTGGTCCGACGAAGACACCGGCTTTGACCTTTGCCTCAAACAGCGTAGGGAAGACGTCTTGAAGGTATTTGAAGGCTGCCGACTCCTTATCTACGGCTCTGACAAATTGTTTCATGAGGCCCAATTTGATGTGCAGTGCAGCACCTTCCTGGGGTCCACCAGTGGCTCCCACAGAGAACTCGGTCCGCTGTGGCCAGTCCCGCCTGTGGTAGTGCTCCTTGGTGTCGAAATCTTTTGTAGTAATTGTATTACTTTAGTATAAATACATGTCAATTTTGATTCCTATGTTTTTTTCTTTGTGAACGAAAAGACACGAATTTGCCCGTTTTCTCAATGAAAATAGGTAAATTTCAAAATATCACTGTCCTGGTCACAAAAGCAAAGTTTGTGGGGAATAACATCCATTTTCTGTACTTTTGAGGCATAAGCAATTACGAAATAACACGACCCAGGAACAAAAATTGCGTTACATTTCCCAGGAGACGTACGAAACCGGACTGTCAGCAGAGTCTTGCTGCTGCTGCTCCACTGGGTTTGTTCGTGAAGATGTTTTCAGCCAATCCATGAGTGGTTCGTATATGCGTGCGAGGCAGGGGGCTGGCACACTGGCCCCGTACAGATAGAAACAGGTGGGAATCGGGCCACGCTTTGCTCGACCCCCACGGGAAGGGAGTTTCTCAACGTCAATGCGATCAACCAACGAGTCAAAGGGCTAAGGCGCAGCCCTGCAATTGCGCCCTTCGCTGCTGGCAGAAGAGGCCTCCACTAGAGGGTACTCGAGTGACATTTGTCGGATTCTTCCACCCTGGCCAGAGGCGGGTGAACCCACCTCGGGTTGAATGGGTGAGTTTGGTGTGTGGGTGGGTGAGTTTGGTGTGTGGGTGGGTGAGTTTGGTGTGTGGGTGGGTGAGTTTGGTGTGTAGGTGGGTGAGTTTGGTGTGTGGGTGGGTGGGTTTGGTGTGTGGGTGGGTGAGTTTGGTGTGTAGGTGGGTGAGTTTGGTGTGTGGGTGGGTGAGTTTGGTGTGTGGGTGGGTGAGTTTGGTGTGTAGGTGGGTGAGTTTGGTGTGTGGGTGGGTGAGTTTGGTGTGTAGGTGGGTGAGTTTGGTGTGTGGGTGGGTGAGTTTGGTGTGTGGGTGGGTGAGTTTGGTGTGTGGGTGGGTGAGTTTGGTGTGTGGGTGGGTGAGTTTGGTGTGTGGGTGGGTGAGTTTGGTGTGTGGGTGGGTGAGTTTGGTGTGTAGGTGGGTGAGTTTGGTGTGTAGGTGGGTGAGTTTGGTGTGTGGGTGGGTGGGTTTGGTGTGTGGGTGGGTGAGTTTGGTGTGTAGGTGGGTGAGTTTGGTGTGTGGGTGGGTGAGTTTGGTGTGTGGGTGGGTGGGTTTGGTGTGTGGGTGGGTGGGTTTGGTGTGTGGGTGGGTGAGTTTGGTGTGTAGGTGGGTGAGTTTGGTGTGTGGGTGGGTGAGTTTGGTGTGTGGGTGGGTGAGTTTGGTGTGTAGATGGGTGAGTTTGGTGTGTAGGTGGGTGAGTTTGGTGTGTGGGTGGGTGAGTTTGAGTTTGGTGTGTGGGTGGGTGAGTTTGGTGTGTGGGTGGGTGAGTTTGGTGTGTGGGTGGGTGAGGTGGGTGTGTGGGTGGGTGAGTTTGGTGTGTGGGTGGGTGAGTTTGGTGTGTGGGTGGGTGAGTTTGGTGTGTGGGTGGGTGGGTGAGTTTGGTGTGTGGGTGGGTGAGGTGGGTGGGGTGAGATTGGTGAGTCGGTGAGGTTGGCGAGCGAGCGAGGTTGGTGAGTGGTTAGGCGGTGAGGTTGATGGGTGGTTGAGGTGTTAATTTGGTGGTCGAGGAGTGTGGGTGGGTGAGGTTGGTGGGTGACCGACTGTTTGAGCGGTTCACCCATTGGTCATTCCCCCTCGAAGCCAGCAGATGTCACCACCACGGCTCAACAGCGAGACCGCCACCTCGAGCCAGCAGTCCTCTGTGAATCTCGTGGCACATGTTGAGAGGGTCCTGCCACGTCGCCGGAAAACGCGGGGCTCTCCGGGCCCTCTGGCGGTCACCTTGTTGACAAGCCCCGGGCCTTGAACAGCTTCACAACATTGCAGAATGTTGTGGGTTTACTCTCCAAACACACGGGCGCGCTGTCATAGTAACGAATTGGCACGTGCTGTTTACGCAGAAATACTCATTGGCTGTGTCGGTTGGTGGCGGGTATAATGACATTTACGCGATCTGACCCCCCCTCCCCCCCACACAAAAAAATACCAATATTATTATAGATAATATTGGTCGCGAAAGCCAAACTCCGTGTTCAACTTCTAAATAATGGGAGCAGCTACAGCGGCGGTGTTGACGTCGTCCGCGCCGGGCTTGCAATCCAGAGGATCGCCACCGCCTTTGATTCCATCTCCTGGTGCGGAAGTTAAAGCAACGGGAGCGGGGGGCGGGGCGAGTTTGTTTTGCTTAATCCCCCCCCCGGCCTCCACCACCACGACCACCACGACCACCACCGCCACGACCAC